CTTACTCTTTTCCAACCTGCACCTATATCAGCTAGTAATGCCCGTCGGGGGAGGCGATGGTTAGGCATGCGCAGCACATCACCTAGCCATCTCAATCTATGTAACTTTATTGTCTCGTCGATTGATTTTCCCTCTTTGCCCAACACTCTACGCCTAACGTCAACATTACTTCCCGACTGAAAGCTGCTACCTTGACGTGGTGGTCGGGCTTGAACACCGCAATGACCCAACAAGCTATACTGGCTGAGACTTATGTCGCTTGAGGTCCTACCATGCCAGAAAGGTTGTCTGGATAGCGGTTACCCAATCCAATACTATGACCCAAACAAAATCACAAAATATCATGCCGGATCGGTCGGGGCCCGGATTAACAACGACCGCACTTCCTGCTGCCGTGTCACAGGGCAGAAGTGATAAATATGCTACTGAGACACACCAAATAAAAAAAGAAGTTTGTTCCATCCTTTGTCTCTCCCTTGCTTACCTAGGTAAATTCTAATCAAAACCCTGCCCACCCTTTCTTATTTTCCATTTCCTTCGTACTTTTATGATATTTATTATTTAAACTCTGATTATCTGTGTCACCTCCAAGTAACTTTTTAAAGTTGACCTAATTTGTTTATTTATTTATTTATAGAATTGTCTACATATACACACATATATAACTACCTTCGTTATTTTTATCGCCACCTGCAGAAACCTTATTATTATTATTATCATTAATTTTGTTAACATTGATCCACAAACTCACCATCATTGGTTAAATTCTTTCTGCATATATATAAATCTATGTAAATTAGAGTAAAGTCTGAAGAAGATCTAATTGAAAGCAACAATATTGTCCACTTTTATATATATCTCATATTATTATTATTGTTTCCTTTAATTCCTAGAGGAACATAGGGCTTCAGCCGTGCATCTCCATTGCGTTCGGTTCTCTGCTAGAGTCTTCACCTGGCTCCAAGTCTGTCCACACGTTTTTATCTCCTCTTCACATGACCTCCTCCAAGTCACCCTTGCACTGACGACCAATTCGCCGCTTCCCTTTCGGGTTCCACTTGAGCAATGGCTTGCCTAGTGATATCACTTGATGGTTTGATTCCTCAGAGTATGGCCAATCCATCCCCATTTCTTCCTGCATATTTGTTTCACAATCGGTACCTGGTTGGTTCGCTACCAGAGATCCCTCCCTGTTGTTGATCTTTTCTGGCCATCTGATCTTGAGTATTGAGCGAAGACAGCTGTTTATGAAGGTCTGCAGCTTGGTTAAGGTGCTGTTTATAACGCGCCAAGTCTCTGATCCGTATAGTGAGTAGCACTGACTTAACATTTGAGTTGAAAATCCGGACCTTATTTTTCATGCTGAGTGCTGTTGACGTCCACACATACAGTAATGAAGGCTTGTCTTGCTTTCTCGATCCTTGCTTTGATATCTTCATCAGTTCCGCCTGTAGTTGAAACGATGCTTCCCAAGTATGTAAGGTACGTTGTTTCTTTCAGCTTCCTCCCATTTATGCTGATTGTCGTCTGTTGTTGTTGCTGTTACTGTTGATGTCCAGGAATCTTCATCACCTCTGTTTTCTCTATGTTCGCCTGAAGTCCATTCTTCTCTGGATGCTTCTTCTGCCAACTTCCTGCTTTTCGCTTGCATATCTTCCAGTTTGTGGGAAATCAGACATATATCATCGGCGAAGTCCAGATCCTCCGAGTTGTTTTTGTGTGGGTCCATTTTATGCCTGTTTCCTCATTTCCCACTGTTTGTCGCATTATCCAATCTACTGCAATCAGGAAAATCATTGGCGATAGCAGGTAGCCAGCTTGTCTTACTCCTGTCTTCACTTCTTCGAAGAATTCCGTGAGTTTCCCGTTGTGGATTACTTGGCATGCAGCATTGTCGTACAACTGTTGAATGAGATGTTTAATTGTTGGTGGCACCCCGTAGTAGCGAAGTAGTTGCCAAATCACCTCTCGATCGACACTGTCGAAGGCCTTTTCAAAGTCGATGAAGTTGAGATAAAGAGGTGACTGCCATTCCAGGCTTTGTGCAATGATGATCCGTAGAGTGGCGATTTGATCAATACATGACTTGTTTCCTCTGAATGCAGCTTGCTCTGGTCGAAGTTTTTCATCCAGGGCATGTTTGATTCTCTCCAGGATGATGCGACTTAGTATTTTGCTTGGGATGGACAGGAGCATAATTCTGCCCCAGTTCTTGCATTGACTTAGGTTTCCTTTCTTCGGTAGTTTGAATAAGTATCCTTTCTTCCAATCCTCGGGTACTTTGCCTTCTTTCCACACCTTCTCCAGTAGTGGCGTCATCAATAGAAATATTTAGAGACAACTGTATCCCTCATCAAAGTCTACATTATATTTGAAGTCTGTAGTGAAGACATATTGGTCTTGGAATAACAATGATGAAGGCCTTTTGGTAGCAGTTCAACTGCCCAGCTCAGAAAACACAACCAGATGATTGACTGATTTCAACAAAGAACTTTGCACAGATGTGTGGTGCACCAGTTCAAGTTGACACACTCCCTCCATGTACCACACAAACCAACAGAAGAGAGTAAAGAGAGATTCAATAGAGAGATAATAAACAGAAATATGAGGCAAAGAGAATGGTATTATGGGAGAACGATAGAGTTTCATTGAATACGACGACATTATAAATCACAAAGAGTGAATGCGTTTCCACCAACCGCTGGCAACGATTTTCAGGTATATCACGAATTGTCTCCAGCCTTCATTAGTGTTTATAATCCTGAGGACCCCAAACAGGAAGCCAGTCTACATCTCCCTTCGTGGCTGGTTGGCTTAAACTGACTGTTGTGGATTTCATTGACTGATGGAGCTAACGCTTTGGTTTGACCACGACTTGCTAGCTCTTTTACAACCTAATCCGTTGTATGTCAGTTAATACTGCCAAGCATGCGTAACACACACATATCCTAACCATCTCAGTCGGTATAACACTTTACAAAATCAAATTTAAAGCGAAATATCTATTCCAATAATGGCTTGTTTTTTTTTACTATACGGCTAATTTGATTGGTTGTTCATCAACACCGCTTAATGATTGGCCCCATTCCCCTAGGCCAGTTTATTGTAAACTTCGGCTTTCAACATGTTGTAATTATATAGGACAAGAAATATTAAACTTTAGGAGAGAAGGAAGAGAACAGAAGCACCACATGCACACACCTACACAGTCGGAGGAAATCAATCGACACCGAAAAAGAGGACATTCACCAAGTGAGAAAAAAATATAGGAGAAAAGAAATAATTGATTCATCGATTTATTGATTTGATTAGAATAAGGAATAGGCAAAGCAGAGTACAATTTATTATTCTTCTTCTCAATATTCTGATCAAATATAATTCGCATATAATGTTATATACCAACTCAGATATCAGTGGAATAGATTCTTCATGTATCATGGCCATGAGCAACAGTGATATTGTGTGAGAGCACAAACTAAAGCAGGTGAAGAGGGATTCGAACCTGGAACCTTTAGGCTGAAAGTTGACGACTGAAGCCAGTGTGCACACATCTCTATACCACGACCTATGGATTGAGTAAATTTACAGTGGTTTTCAGGAGAAGCCAACACACTCATCCTAACCTTTTATGAGTACATACGTCGGAGAAATGAAATGAAGCGGGTTGGTGAAAACTCCCTTTCGAGAAGCCATTCAACTGAATTGTTCCAAGTGGAACATAGGGCTTCAACAACATATCTCCACATTGTCCTATTCTCTGCTGTCTTCTGCAGCTGGACCCACGACTACCCATATTCTCTCTCATCCCCTCTTCGCCAAACGATCTCCTCCATGTCACCCTCGCACTGACGACCAACTTCTCGCTTCCCAATAGGATTCCACTAGAGCAATGACCTGGCGCGCGATTCCATCCAACGGTCTCTTCAATGTATACCCGACCTATCTCCACTTTCTCCTACGTACTTGTTGAGCGATCGGCTCTCACCTGCTGGTTTGTTTATCGCTAGAGTCTTTTGTTACTAATTCTTTCTGGCCATTTGATCTTCAGTATGGAGCTAGCGAAGGTAGCTGTTGATAAAAGTCTGCAACCTGTTGAAAATCCTTTTCGTGACACGCCGGACAAGTTTCTGACCTGTATAGAGGAACCGACATTACATTGGTGTTGAGAATCCGAATCTTGTTCCTTCTGTTGAGTGTAGAAGATTTCCAAACTAGTTTCAGGTTGACGAAGGCGTATCTTAACTTTCAGATTCTGGTTGACTGGCTTTGACATCTTCATCCGTTACGACTGCCTGTAGTTGAAACGATGCTTCCTAGTTAAGTGAAGGAGGCAACCTCTGTTAAATCTCTCCCGTTGATGATGACTGGTGCTGGTTGTTGTTGCTGTCTGCGTCACCTCCGTTTTCTCTGTGTTCACCTAGAGTCCTGTTTTAGCCACCTGCTTCTACTGTCAGTTTGTGTGTCATTAGACATATCATCCGCAAAATCGAGATCTTCTGGAGTCTTCTTACCGGTGATCCAGCATAATCCTATCTTCTCACTTCCACACACAGTCTGATGCATAATAATCCAGTCCTCACAATTAAGAATATCACCGTGGGTAATAATAGACAGGCTCCTGTATTCACTTTATAAACGCTTCACTGAGTTTTCTGCTGTGGATCGATCACCTACCTAAATGACAGGTAATAATAATATCGTGCCTTAATCCAACCCCTGAATCAGGATGAAACTTTCAACGAAGAGGATTATAAGAAAAGCATCAGCTTGTAATGCTAAGCGATCTAATGATTGATTGATGGTTGGTTCACGGTCATTTGACTCTGTTGTCTATCATAAAACACGTCCCAGTCACCTTAATCACGATGCAGCTTCACATCAACCTAATCGATTTAAGTTGCCACACCTCACATATATTATACTGAGATATAGTCACGTACTCACAACTAACACCCACACACACACACATACACAAATAAAGAAGACGATGTATGACTTACCTGTCCAACACCTTGCTGGTCAGCTGCTGTATGATTTGATATGAATGCACTCAGTGCGGGGTAAGTGATTGAACCCATAGCAGCAATTAAACCAGCTAACCATAATAATACGGGATTTGTAGCAAAACCATACAGTGTTAACTGAATTGCTTCAAAGATTAAACCGAATATAATCACATGTTTCGGTCGCATAACACGATATAATAAAGATAAAATAACTGTCTGTAAAAGAAAAAGAACAAAAAAAGAAGAGCAAAATTAAAAATAAAACGCGAAATTGATTATCCATATATAGAATCATTGATATACGAATAGAATTTGTGCACTGTAGTAGAGTAAAATTCAATTATGCGTAAAATTTATTTTGATATAGTCTCATAGTGTAATACAGTAATATTAACTGATGACCACGTTTTGAGCACAATCTATTTAATGCTCATTATCATATCAAGGCAATACTCACACATACAACTTTCTTGCTTCATTTATATAATTCCATTATTTTTCATCGCTTGATTTGATGATTGGTAGTAGTATTTTCCATATTTCGGGTATGACTGATGAGTCATTCTCTATTGCATGCGCTGGGTGTAGACTCGATGAACCAGGCAGGATTCAGTAATCAATCTCTCTCTACCTACATAGATTACTTCTTAGAATCTTAACCCTCTACCACACAGCCTATTGTTGTGTGGTTGTGTGTTAATGCATGCAGTGCAATGTAGTGCTGAGCTTTTTTCTAAATTACTTATCTTCGTGAGTGGGGTCAACCATTCTAACCTTAGCTAAATTCTTATGTTCTGATAATCTGACTACCGCTGATCTACTAGTTTCACCTATATAGTTGACCTGACAGTCATCCATATAGAATATAGTATAGTACAGTATTCATATGTGCGTCGGTGGCACAACGGTTAAGACACTCGCCACCATGCACATGGTCCGAGGTTCGATGCCCGGCCATAGACGCACTCCTTTACCTCGCTAAGACAGTAATAAGACTGGTAAAGAGGAAAGGTTGGGCATGAGGCTAGCAACCCCATCCCGTAAAAATAAACACCACTGCTATAGAAACTTGAAGCCTCCAGCTTGAAACCTTATGCTCTACTGGGGACGTGAAGGAATAAAGAAAAAATAGTATCCCAACAGAATATCTAAAACAACACTCTTAAATTAACAATATTGTGTTTTCATTTAGATCTCATCAGACTTAACTCTAATATGTCTACATAACTTTATAAATAAAAATTCAAATATAAACCAGTTACGGTGTTTTGTCAATGGGATAATGAGATTGTGCATATAAATTGTGAAATTAGTCATAATAATAATGATGGTTCTATCAGTGATAAGGATGAAAAAGTGAGGCAATCTGTGATAACACGAATAATGAAAAAACAGCATCATTAAACAAATAAGATGTTCAGGTAGAAGTAAGTAGTCGATTAAGGCTAACAAAAACAAATGGACCAATTATGTAATGTTAGATTGTAAGGGAAGTAAATAAAATACGTTTTAATGAAGATGTGATAAGATTAAGGGATGACAATAGAGGGGTTGAAAATATAAGTAAGGGGTGGTAGAGAAGTCATCAGTTGGTTATGTCTTAATATGCCAACAGGGGAAGGATAATGGCTGTACAAACTACTTTTGAATGCATTAGTTTAGGTTTAATAGTTCGAATACCTATCGCCTCAGCTCCATACGCAGTAAACGAATATGGAGCCTATTGGAAAGATTCGGTGGGATACAATGAATCAATTACGTTGAATGCTTTCATTTTCTCCCCTAAATGATCACTATCAACTAAACAGGACAAAATGGAACTACGGATTGCTTTTGTCTGTCCTTTGCCGAACCACGGCAGCTAAGCTGTCTAATAGTACGCCCAAAATAACTGTCACCACAGGTTTAGTCGAATTGATAAATGCACATAGTTGAGTGGCAAAACTATCTAGCTTATCCTTCATTTGCGTTCCAATCATTCATCGGCTAGAGAAGAACAAATATAGGTTTGCTGCGTAAAACGTTTTTCGTATAAACTCCTGGAAAGTCTCTGGAATAAAATCTCACTTGACAAGTCACCATTAAATTGTAACTTAATAAATAGAGGTGATTGGTTTATAATATTTTAATATTTATTTGTATAGTTATGTAAGCATATTAGAATTAAGCCTGATGAGATCTAATTGAAAACACAATATTGTTCGCTTAAATGTGGTGTTGTTCTAAATTTTACTATGGGAATATTTCATATAGAATATTACAAGCAAGTTCAATTAGCCATTGAAATGGAAAGGTGATTTATTGATGCAAGCAAGCAAGCAATTTTCACCTATCAGATGCCAGGTTCGACTCCCATAAAATCGACAACAGAGATATAACTTGGTGGTTTAAACATAAGACTTGCAACGAATACATTCGAGTCACACTCTACTTACTTCGGAATCTGCAAGAGTATATGGAATGGATGTGAACTACCGAAATTGTCAGATAGCAACTCTATGCATCATCATCATCATCGAATAGAGCATAGAATGGCAGTCAAACCTCTCTCTACCTCAACTTCATCGACTTTTTTTTTTATAATAATAATAATTTGCTTTATTCCAGAATGGAATTCTCAGCATTTTTACTACAGTATTGCATCCAGTTAGTACATTATCAATAAATAGAATTCTACATAGATTGAGGAAACCACAGTTCATTATGACAACAATACATTGGCATGTCAGTAGCAAAGGTAAAGCTGAACAGTGTTTGAAGGTGTTAGAAAAGTGGGAGCTGTCTTATTAACTGGCGTAAGCGAGAGAAAGAAACAAAGCAGCACATAACGGAAAAAAGAGAGAGAGAAAAGGAAAAGAAAGAAAACGTTGTACCTATAAATGATATGAGTTGGAAAGACGAGATCCAGTTGTTCTACTGACTATTTAATAAGTTATAGGTATCACGCCTAATGCTTTCTTTGTCGCACAGAACACGAGCTGAGTAGAATATGGTTGAGTTTTTGTGCTTGCTACTGCGAGCATATAGTTTTCTATATAGACTTCTGGTTCTGCCTGATGAGATACAAGGGGAGAGTTGTGAGTGAAGAGGGTGCTGTGAGTTAGATAAAATTGATTTGGCCCATTTTTCACATGAGTCCATGTGCCTGTCAACCAGAATATTAACAAGCTGGTTAAGTGGCACGTTGCTTACCCTGCTGACAACATTTAACATCCTGCGTAATATGTTATAGTCTTTCTTCAGTAGCCCTGGAAAAACTAAGGGGGAACAATAGAGAATAATAGGCAGGATGCGAGAATTAACGAATTGTAGGAGTAAGGGTTGGGTAATACCAGAATGTTTTAACTTCTTAATGTAGAAGGTAAGACGGAATATTTTCTTAGAAATCGCTAAGATATGAGACGACCAGGAGAGATCAGCAGATAGAATGACACCTAGGTATTTAATTTCCGATTTAGTTTCTATTTCAGTGCCGTCTATGTCGCATACCTCGTGAGAGCCAAACAGTTTGTTTAGGTTGGATTTATGCCTAGAGGTGAAATCGACCGTTTGGCATTTGGAGGGGTTTAAGGTAAGACCACTTTCCTTGGACCACTGTCTGATTTCTGACAGAAAGCCATTAAGTTTAGAGCAGTCGCTTTGACATTTGATAGGCAAAGATACAGACAGATCGTCAGCGTATTTGATAAAATTAATGTCATTTGAAGATGGTAAGTCATGTAGAAAGAAAGAAAAGAGAAATGGGGAGAGTACAGCGCCTTGGGGGACTCCGGCTTCAGTGAGTACAGCAGAGGATGATTTACCTTTGTATACGGTGTACTGCATTCTGTTAGAGAAGTAGGAATGCAAAAGGCCTTCACCAAAGAGCGTTGACCAAGAAGTTATTTGGAAATTGCTTCAACACTATGACCTGCAGTGCCCAAGTCTTTATCAACCTCATTCAACAGCTGGGTATATGACACTGCCACATGTCAGGTGTTCCACAACAAAAAAGGCAGAGAAGTCTTCGAAATGAATACAAGAGTAAGACAGGGATACACCTATTATCACCAGTGATATCCCTAACTGTGATGGACTGGATCATGCGTCAGACTGTGCGTTGAGAGCAATAAGACAGGAATATGTTGGACTGACCGATAGGGAGACTCTAGAAGATCTGAATTTCGAGGCGAATGATTTATGTCTAATGTCACAAACACTTGAAGACTTGCAGGCGGAGACAGGACTTCAGGTGACCATAGACAAGACGGAGGTGATGCAAATAACCAACCGACGAACAGAAACAACAACCAACAGCGATTACTATCATCGCGAGAGATTTGACAGAGGTTACTTCCTTCATTTATCTAGGCATCACATTTCGAACCACAGACACACGGCACGAATGAAGATGTTAAAGTCAGCCAGAATCGGAAAGACAAGATACGTCTTCATCAATCTGAAACCAGTTTGGAAATCTTCTGCTTCACTCAGTCAGCATAGAGAACAAGATTCGGATTTTCAGCACCACGAATGTTAAGTCAGTCAGTTCTTCTATGTGGGTCATAAACTTGGAGCCCGTGTCACCAAAATCATTTCAAGAACAAAAGTCGCCTCCACTAGCTCCATTGTGACGACGAGACGTCTGAACAGAAAAAACTATCAACAAGAAACTATGGGAGCTAACTAACTAACTTACTGGGAACTTATCGCTAACAAATATGAAGGAAAAAATGGAAAAGGATGAGGCACACACTGAGGAAGCCGTCATATGACATCATGTACCAGGCGTAGCGTCGAGCGGAATCCTAATGGGAAGTGACGAGTGGGTGGTCGATGCAAGGGTGACATGGAGGCGATGAGAGATTATGGGCAATTATGGACCCCCCAGCTGAAGGGGACAGCACCAAGTAGAACAAAGTGGAGATGTGTTGTTGAAGTGCTATGTTCTTCTCGGAATCCAAGAGAATAATAGTAATGATTATTAATAATAATAATACAAAAACGTGATCATAGAAGAAAGACTGTTGTTAATATCCATGAAACTATCGTCAACTTTAGATTAAACACTCATGATAACAATGGTGACGTATTCAGTCGTTATCATGACTCTTGCAGAAAAGACCCGACGGCGACAAAATTGTCACATGTATGTAGATTGCATATTTGTGATCGACATAATAATATCGATTGGAATGCAAAAAAAACCCTTAGGTTATATACCATGTGTGTGAAAA